CTGTTGCTGCTGCCCAGGGCTCCCCAGCTGTTGCTTCCTTCGAAGCTGACTTGCGATCCCTCAGTTGGGGCGGTCGCTCTCTGCAGCATGCGCCTCAGCAGCAGACGCGGCAACACGAAAACATGAACTATCAGTACCATCACCAGCAAGAGTATTACACGCAGGAGTACTTTGACCAGCGTCAGCAGGTACAACAACAACACCCGCCACAGCAGCTGCTGCAACAGCAGCCAATTCAACAACTGCAACACCAAGTACAGCTGCATCAGCAACAACAACAGGTCGATGAGACGCTGCAGATACAACTGCAACAAAGAGGGGAGCAGCTGGAACATTCTCAGCCGTGGCAGCATCAGCATCAGCAGCAGCACTGGCTGCAAGGCAGCGCAGTTGACCCCTTGGGCGCTTCTGTTCGTGAGTTCCAGCCCCACCCGCACCAGCCGGGGTTGCAGCAGCAGCTGCAGCAGCGACAACTACATCAGGAGCAACAGTTGCAGCAACAGCGCCTACAGCAACAGCACCAANGCAGCTGCAGCAGCGACAACTACATCAGGAGCAACAGTTGCAGCAACAGCGCCTACAGCAACAGCACCAAGAGCAACTTCTTTGGCAGCAGCCGGGTCTGCACCACCAGCAGCAGCTGCAGCAACTGCGCGAGCATCAAGTGCGGCAGCAAGAGCGCGAGCTGCAGCACCAACAACAGTACCGATTGCAGCAGCAGCTACTGCTTCAGCTGCAACAGCCGGCTTTGTTGCAACACCCAGCATACTACCTGCAGGATAACCAGCAAGCCTGTACGCAGCACCAGTTCCAGCAACAGCAGTACGCGCAGCAGCTGCAGCAGCAACTTCTGCAACCGTTGCAGCAACAGCACATGGCGCAAACGTCGGCGTGGCTCGGTGCATTAGAAAGGCCGGACTGGCCTGTGACGCCGCCCGTGTCAGCCGCTGCCGCGGCAGCAGCAGTAACAGCAGCTGCTGCAGCAGCAACCGGCGGCGGAGTCACACTGGGCTGCGACTGTGTGGCATGCCGCGGCAGCAGCGGCCGCAGCAGCTGCTGCCTTCGGGGTCTGAAAGCCAGGCTGGAGGCACTGAATCTTGGGGTGGATCCTAGGGAGCTGAAGATCAACTCCAGGATCGGCAGCGGCGCATCAGGGACTGTTTTAAAGGCTGTATGGAGAGGCTGCGATGTGGCAGTGAAAGTGCTGCCGATGGTGCAGCAGCAGCTGTTGCAGCAGCAGCAGCAGCAGCAAGGAAGAAGCGCATCCGCCGCCGCTGCTGCGGCAGCAGCAGCTGCGGCGCGAGAGCTGCAGATTATGAAGCGGCTCAGGTGCCCGAACCTCGTGCTTTTGATGGGGGCATGTGCGCTCGATACTGATGCTGTGTGCAGCAGCAGCAGCAGCATTAGCAGCGGCAGAAACAGCAGCAGCGGTTCTTTGAGTTCGAACAGCGCAGCGGAGCTGCTAGCAGCAAGCGGCTGTTGTGGTCCGGGGCTCGCAGTGGTGATGGAGTTGTGTGCTGGGGGCAGTCTGTTTGGGTTGCTCCACGGGAAGCCAGAGGATGCACTTGCTGCTGTTGCTGCTAAAGCCCCTGCAGCTGCTCCGGCGGCTGCGCCTGCTGTTGCTCCTGCGGCTGATGCTTCTGTACCTGCTGGCGGTGCTGCTGTTCCATCTGTTGCTGTTGTCATGTCTAAAGCACCGCACGACAACTCGTTGTCAGCTCCCCAAAGCCGCATGCTCGGCGGTACGACAGGAGCAGCAGCAACTAAAGCTGCAGTAGCGGAGACAGCGGATGCAATAGCAAACATTTCGACGGCTACCGCAACGCATGAAACCTCCCAAGGCCTGCACCAAGACTCTCCGCAGCAGCAACGGCACTTTANACGGCTACCGCAACGCATGAAACCTCCCAAGGCCTGCACCAAGACTCTCCGCAGCAGCAACGGCACTTTAAAGAGCAGGAACAGGAGCCACATTCGCTGGCGCAGCCTCCGCCACAGCCGCTTCTGCAGCAGATGCATCCTCCTCCACAGCAGCCAGACCAGCCTCCAGAGCAGCGGCGGCGCTTGACCTGGGTGCAAAAGCTGAAGGTTGCTCTTGACGTTGCTCGGGGCTGCGCCTACCTGCATGCATCGCAGCCCCCAGTTGTTCATCGGGACTTAAAGAGCCTAAACATTCTACTGGTCGAGAGAATCACCAGTGACAAGCAAATGCCCGTCGCAAAGGTGGAAAACACCAGTAATAAAACAGTTACAACGATGCTGCTTCTTTTTCTGTTGCTGCTGGATGCGTGTGTGCGTTTGCATGCTTCGGCTCGCTGCACTTGGTGCTGTTGCAGCTGCTCTTCTTGTTTCAGTTCCTGTCCATGGTGTTTATGTTTCCGACTTAGCTGGTGCC